CCTCAGACCATGGGGCCTTTCACAGCCTGCCTTTCAAATCCAACTGAACTCAATTCAATTCAGCAAACAGCCGGTAGTGCCTTCCATGTGCTGGGCCAAACGAGAGGTACGAAATCAAATGTCCTCAGCTCACAGGAGAGACAGATGAGTAAGCATGTGATTGATGCAGTGCGATGGGCTTAGTATAACCACCGGGGGTCTTAGAGACTTAGCCAGCTTGCGGTAACTCCTGCAGGGCCAGGGCTACAGTTGAAATCTCCAGCTCAGGTCCAGGACTCTTTAAACAATTTTTAAAATATGTTTTTATTAACTTCTCAGAGAGAGGAAGGGAGAAGGAAGAGAGAGAGAAGCATCAATGATGAGAGAGAATCATTGATTGGCTGCCTCCTGTACACCCCCTAATGGGGATCAAGCCCGTAACCCAGGCATGTGTCCTGACCAGGAATTGGACTGTGACCTCTTAGTTCATGGGTTGAGGCTCAGCCATTGAGCACACCAGCCAGGCAGGGCTCTTTACGTTACTCAAGGCAGCCTGGCCAAAATGACCTCAGACTTGCCCAATAGAATGAAACAAAACACAAAGAAAAGATCCAAAATGATCCATGATTAAAACACAAATTAAGTATTAAAATGTAAAACCCATAAAAGTTACTACAGAGACACTAAATCACAGTGGAATAAGATCACTTAAATACCACATTTATAAGCTGGAAACACAGGGAGCTGGACCACATTCAAGCACAGCCCCGATGAAAGCCTGTGACTCATGTACTGTGGCCAAGTAACACACATAGATAACAAGTTACTTGCAAACGCTAATAGTACTAGTTGACCAGGGGCAAAAATGGGTACCTGTGTCTTTTTATTCTGATGTCTATGAAAAACTAGAAGAAAATTATGTTTTAAAATATCATGAAAGATGCAAATACTGAAGTCTTACATTTATTTTAAAGAACCAAGAAACTAAAATTGAGAAAACATTAAGTGATTTATAAGAGCATTCCAAAAGGAGATTTGGGAGGGTGTCATCTCAAAACTAAGGCAGAGAACATCAGAGGAAAAGGAGATCTTAAGAGACCATCTAGGATATTCTGTTCTCAGGATCCAGCATGGCCTTCAGTCCAAGAGAGATATGGTCTATGTTTGTGGGACCATGTTTTTAAACTGAAGACTGTGATCAGGTCAAGAAAGCAATTTAGTGGGTCATGACAGTCAATTTCTTTTTAAATGGAAGGTAATAGAATCCAGCAGAAAATGCCAGTTGTATCAGAGGGAAGGAGGGAGCAGGGAGTGCGTAGAGGTGGGCAAAGCGGGGGGGGGGGGGGGGGAATGGGGACATCTGTAACAGAGTCAAAAAAATTAAGTTAAAAAGTAAGCACTGAGTTTTATGTATAATTGTGTGTGCACATGTTTAGGAGCTGATGATGCAGTAAACATTTCATATGATGAAGTGTAGTCCAGGTTTGAAACACGCTTTTCTGACACTCTCATGCTAAACACGCTCAGCTATGAACAGTGACCTTTCTCCTCATTCTTGGCGTCTGTGCTAAAATTAAACAGAGGATGGAGCGGGGAATGCAAGTACTGAAAGGAGGGAACAAATTAGCGGAATGTAAATGAGTGAACTGCTAACAAGGGGCTAGAGACCAAACAGATGAGATAAATGAGCTCTGGGCTTGTTTCTAAAGACTCCTGCTCTATATGACAAGTAACGATGACCCGGCTGTCCCCCTTCCTCATTGGAGCACTGGATACACAGTAGCTGCTCAGTAATTACTTGTCCAATGAGCCTGTAGCACAGTGGTTCTCAACCTCCTGGACCTTTAAATACAGTTCCTCATGTTGTGACCCAACCATGAAATTATTTTCGTGGCTACTTCATAACTGTCATGTTGCTACTGTTATGAATCGTAATGTAAATATCTGATATACAGGATGGTCTTAGGCGACCCCGGTGAAAGGGTCGTTCGACCGCCAAAGGGGTCGCGACCCACAGGTTGAGAACCGCTGCTCTAGAAGCACCTGCATTCTCTCTAGGATAACAGTTATCAAGCAATGTGATCGTTGCTTTTTAAATAACGTCGGCCTCCTCCACTGAAGCTCCTTGAAGGCTGGGCTAATGTTCGGTCCACAGCTGCATCCTCACCCCCATGACACTGTTTAAGACATGTTGGCTGGATTGAACTCACGGGCATGAAGTGGCAATAAAGATCGAGCTCTCATACCCATCTGATGCTTGAAAACCTGTTTAGGGAACAAGAGCTCAGAACTTAGGCTTCTAGAGAGCAGATCACTTGGAATCTCTTCTGTGTCTTGGCCCAGAGGTCAGGGTGACTCCAAGAGCGTATATCATCCTTTTTTGGAATAAGTGCCTCTTGAAATCTCCTGGCTGCTGGGGACGCATGGAAGATGTTTTTCCCTAGTCTGGACAGCTTGAAGGCAACAACCACTTTGAACCCATAGCTGCTGAGCTATGTCAGAGGCCCCGTCCACATGGCTAACTGGAGCAGGCAGGGTGCTCGGGAGGCCTGAGGCAGAGGGCTGGCTTTGGAGAAGCGGTCAATTGACCAAGTAAATCAACAATAAACCAAAGCCGGTGCTTCCCCCCAAGAAGTCCAGGCGGAGGGGAAATGGGACATGTCTTGGACGCAGTCATTTGCCTTCCTCACTCCTCTGCAGCTCTCTCATGCTTCCATGGCTAGGAGTCCACACCCAGCTCCTAAGAGTGCCGCTGTTTGTGGCACATCAGTAAGGGTGCCCTGAGCATGAGTCTATAAGGCAGCTAGTATTCCTTGGAAAGCCATATGGTGCTATCTGTGAGGGGATGGAGGATAGATGCCCCACACTAAAATGTCAGTTCAAATTCAAAGGAGAGCCGACTAGGCACTAGTTACTCTTCTTCTCAGGCAGACACCCCAGCCGCTATTACCAACGGCAAGTCCCCTTTACCAAGGACACTTATTGGAGGCAGGCATATATGTCATCTCCCTGCAGCAATGTTCAATCGACGGCTGTACCGTTCCTGTGCCCTGTTCCTCATACACGTCAAACCTCACGTCTCTGTGGATGAGAAAGGCAAGGAACAGAATAACTCTGCCTGCAGAGTTCGCTGGATACCAGGAATCCAGAACACTTGTTTCAGCCTCCACCCCCCTCCCAGACTCTATCCCAGTCTCCAGCACATGCAGAAGGAATAGAAATCATCCTCGATTATTAACCTGAGCAGAATGTAACCACGAGGGCAAGTTCGCCTGGGGCCAGAGGAGCAAGAGGAGGGCTGCATATTCATGCACTCCAAGGTTAAGCAGGAGCAAAGTTTGGAATTTTTTTTTTAAAAAAAAAAACACTGTCTATGTCTAGATACTTAGTTTGAATCTCAATTCTAACTCTGGTATAACTTAATCTCTCCCTGCCTCAGAGTCCTGAAACATCATATGTAAAAGATAAAAATATATATCTACAATGTTTAGCAGGATCTGGCAACTTAATGGACCAGCAAACTACACAAATTATCACTAGGACTGCAGTGTTGCAAAATGGATCAGCAGAGGATTTGGAGTCTGAGGGCCTTCAGGAGGCTGGCTCATGGGCCTTGTCAGCTGTGAGGTTTTGGGAGAGTTTCCTAACCTCTCTGAGCTTTCATTGTCTCATACACAAAATGGGGATCATGCAATCACTTCATGGGGTTACTCTAAAGATTGACTGAGAATCTGCAGGAAAAATGCCTGGTGCAGACCAGATGTCCTGCCCACCCCAAGAGGAGACGTGCCCCCAGTAAAGAGCTGCCCTGACGCCACCTCAGAAAATCAGATGAATCTCTCAAAGGTCTGATGCTCAACGTGCAAAATACCAACCTGTGCCCCCTCGTTCCTATCTGCCTCCCACATTCCCTATGCTGGTGTATGGCCGACCAGCTTTCCTGTCATCCAAGTGAGAAACCCTGCAGTCCTCATTGACTCCCAACAGTACATCCAGTAAACCCTTCATCAGGTTCTATTGAGCCTACTGTTAAAATACTAGTCACTCCACTTGCTTCTCTCCATCTGCTCACCAGCAACTTGCCCCTAGATAACATGTCTCCAGCCTCATCGGCCTGCCCAGCCTTCCCCCTTCTATCCACTCTCAAGCTGCAATTACATAGTCCCCTCTCTGAAGTACAAACCGGATCGTGCCTCTCCCCTGCTTTAAACCCTTCTTGGGTTCCCCCACGTAACATCCAAGTCCCTTAGCGTGGATTCCAGGTCCTACATGATCTACCTCGTCCATGGCTCATTCCCTAGCCCCGTGGTCGGCAAACCGCGGCTCGCGAGCCACATGCGGCTCTTTGGCCCCTTGAGTGTGGCTCTTCCACAAAATACCACATGCGGGCAGTGTGATTGAAACTTCGTGGCCCATGTGCAGAAGTCGGTATTTTGTGGAAGAGCCACACTCAAGGGGCCAAAGAGCCGCATATGGCTTGCGAGCCGCGGTTTGCCGAGCCACAGTTTGCCAGCCACTGCCCTAGCCCCATTTCTCCCAGGCCCCTTCTGGTTCTGTGTGCTCCAGCCACACTGATGCGCACACAGTTCTTCAAATGAATCATGCTCTCTCTCCGCAGGGATTTCACACATGCTCCCCCTCTGCTTAGAATACTCCTTGTCCCTTCGCTTCTCCATGCTAACTCATTCTCAATCTTTATTTTTCAGCTTACCAGTCATTTCTTCCAAGAAGCCCTCCCAACACTTGAATACTGGTCCCTCCCACTGTAGGCAAATGTCTCCTCAGTAGAATGGGAGTCTCTTGAAGACAAAACCCCTTTTTGTCATTGCAATACCCCAAGTGCCTCAGACTGCGACTACCACAAAACAGGCACTCAAATATTTGTTTGTAGGATAGATGCATAGATGCCAGCTAACAATGGGTGTTGCCCTGTGGTGCAATCTCTGGGTGCAGGCAGCAGTGGCACTGAGCTGCCCACCGCAGACACCAGAAGGTTTCCTTCCAGCAAAGGCAGCACCTACCTAGGATGGCCACCACCTCGTCGTCCTGGATCACCTCCAGGGAGCCGGAGACCACGAAGCAGAGGCTGTCAACGCTCTCTCCTGCGTGGTAGATGAGGTCCCCCGGGGCGCAGTGCACCGTCTGGAACTCCATGGCCAGTGCCCGCAGGCAGCCGTCGCTGGCCAGCCGGAAAGCAGGGTGCTCCTTGAACACCTTGCGGTTCAGGTGCACGCAGATGTCAGCTCTCATGTCCTTGGGACAGATCTGCAAGACCTGGCCAGGCAAGGGAAGAAACAGTGTCAGGGCCCGCCTCGCTGTGGCCTCCAGCCCACTGCCCCTTGACACCTGGGGCAGAAGCAACCCCCACTGGGCTAGACTGCACTCGAGGTGCTGGCAGACAAAGAGAGCCACAGTCCCAACCTCATGCTGCTTACTTTCTTTGGGAGGCAGTGGTCCCCAAAATCTGTGTTAAATGCTCAAATGAGGCTTCCCAAGAGTAGAAGGGCTGGAAGAATGGGGGACTCTTTAGGTAGCTGGGGAAGACCTCTCTGAGGAGGTGACATTGAAGCTGACACCTTCATGATGTATCAGAGGGAGCCATGTGAAGAAAGAACATTCCAGAAGAATAACAAAAGGCTGTGAGGAGACCTGAGCATAGCCAATATGAATGAGAGGCAAGGGGCAGGAGATGAGGTTTCCGGAGGATGCCAAGCAGAAGAGCATGTAGAGCCATGAGGTATGAAAACCCTTTGATTTATTCTGTGTGATGGGGACACATTGGAGGACTTTGAGCAGGGAAGTGACAGGACCTGACCTATATTTTAGAGGACCATTGCAGCTACAGAGGGGAGTTTGAGGGTCCTGGCTTTAGAGAACAAGAATGGAGCCAAGGAATCGAGCTGAGGGAGGTTAGCTAGATTGAGGTACTCGCCTCTTCCCTCCCCATCTGTACGGCAACCACCACCTAGACCAGTGATGGCGAACCTATGACACACGTGTCAGAGGTGACACGCGAACTCATTTTTTTGGTTGATTTTTCTTTGTTAAATGGCATTTAAATATATAAAATAAATATCAAAAATATAAGTCTTTGTTTTGCTATGGTTGCAAATATCAAAAAATTTCTATTATGTGACACGGCACCAGAGTTAAGTTAGGGTTTTTCAAAATGCTGACACGCTGAGCTCAAAAGGTTCGCCATCACTGACCTAGAGAATTCTGGAAAATGCCAGATAAGGATAAAATCTCCCTCTCCCATGGGAAGGTGGTACCTGGCCCTCTCTGCCTCCACACTGTGCAGATCCACACCCTTATGAGTTCTTCCCGGCCAGCCCCAAATATAAGCCTAGCCCCTGAGACTCTTCAGGGAGACTCACTCCCTGAGTGTGTACTTTCGCTTTAATAAAACCTCTGTGCTTTACCGAATCTTTCTGTCTCATTCTCGAATTCTTTCTTGCATGGAGACAAGAACCTGGACACTGCCACAGGGTTGAGGCCTCCCGTGGCCTCCCTGTGAGCCTCTGGCATCAAAGTTAGGTCCCTCCTGCAGGTGTCCAGGTGAGGCCTAGGGGACTTGGACTGGAATGCTGGCAGTGGAGCCAGTGATAGGGATCATGTTCAGAACTGACATGATCTGCAGCCACACGGAATATGGGTGTGATTTAAAGAGAGATATAAAGTAATATTTACTAAGCACTTACCATATGCCAGGCATTGCTAAGTATTTTAGAGTGGTTCCTTCATTTCATACTTATTTATAGAGCATCTGATTATATGCCAGGAATCATTCTAGGCTCTGAGAATGTAGCAGAGAACAAAATAGACAAAAATCCCTGCCCTTGTGTAACTTAACATCTAATGGGAGGAGACAAATAATAAGCAAAATAAGTAAAATTTAGCAGTAAGTGCGGAAGAGAATAGGAAAGAAGGGAGGGAAGGTCAAGGGGATGTGATTTTACATTTTTGAGTACTCTGTGCATTCGCTAATTGAATCCTCACATGACCCTATGATTGTGCCACTTGTCCGAAGTGGCACCGCCAGGCAGTGGCGGAGCTGGGATCTCAAGCTACATAGTCAGGCTCCTAGCTTATATGCTAACCACTCCCTCTACAATGTGGCTGCCCAACACAAATGGGCTTGCGGTTTGGTTCTCAGCATTTAGGAAACCGAGGCAACATGGGAACTATAAGAGGCTCTGGGTCTCATCTTTTAAGGAATGAAAATTTCTCAGCCTCTTCCAGGGGGAGAAATATTTCCTTGGACAAAATATTTGCAAGAAGCCATTGCATAGCCTCCTCCGTATTAAGGAACACAATAGCCCCAAGTGGACTTGTTCAGAGAAATTAGAAGTGTTCCTGAAATAATCCTAACACACAATCAACCATGCCCAGGGAGGACATTTCTCCCCCATCCCCGCGTCCCTGCCTTAGCGCACAGGCCATTTGCCTCAGCGTCTGTGCTCACCGTGGAATTTGCAAGTCCCTCAGCCTCCCTCAAACCCCAGCTCCAATCTCGACAGCTTTGCTCCTACCCCACCCCGCTCAGGTGCCCCTAAGCTCTGCATGGAGGCATGGCTGTGAAAAGAGGGAAAACGGAAATGCACTCTGCTACCACTGGCTGGTGAGGAATAAATGAAATTACACCCACCAGCACACTTCCCTGGGGCAGTGCCTGGCCCTAGGAAGGGCCTCGAGGAATGCCAGTCCCCTCCCTCTGCGTTCTTGCTCTGGGGTTGCAGGTTGCTAAGGCGGCCAGGATGTTCTCTGGGAGAGAGGATGGAGGACTGGCCGAGACAGAGGAAAATTCAGACTGCCAGTGCTTGGGAGTGCGTGCTAATACTTTCCTCTTTAGAGCTCATTAAAACAAGACTTCTGGAGAAATGTGGATTTAATTTGGATCCTCCTCTCTCCAAACAGAACACAAGGGAGTGTAGAATGCTCACGTGTCATGTCAAAACTGTGCTTGGTGGTTCGAAACCAAGATTTATTCTTTAAAGTTCACCTTTAAATATTTGGTTTCCTCTGGGCTGGACTTTGCTGGCAGAGGCTGCTAGTGACGAGGCCTTGGCATGGTGACAATGTTTTATTCGTGGGCACCGTTCCCGGAGCCGCTGGGAAGCATGTGTGAGGAGCAGAGGGACCCCGGGGTGGAGGAATTATGGACTGTCACAGCCACCAGGCATCTCCATCAGCCTTCTGTTGGCGCCACACTGGGCGGGGTAGGGGACCCTGAATGCCTGTCTCTGAGGGAGAGTGTCAGCTCGAGGCCCTGCAATGGGCCACCTTCCCTTCCACTTGGTTCTGAAGAGAGACTATCCCTGCTGGTCCTTGAGCCTTGAAGGCCACAGGGGAGAGGTCTCCATGGCGGCTCCTGGAGCCCCCCAGACTGGGAGGACAGCAGCGAGGCTGGGAGAACAGGCTTTCAGGCAGGCAGATCTGGATCCAATTCCTGCTTTAACACTTAGTAGTCATGTGCACTTGAAGCAACACTTAGCGTTTCCTCCAGACTCGGTTTTGGAACTCGAGCACAGAAGCCTCCTGGGCTCGCGAGCCGGCACACGCGGGGCTAGGCGCACGTGGGCTCTGATTTTGGATGTTCTCAGGGCAGCAGAGCAGCGGGGCAGCCTGAGGGGGGCTTTGAAAGTCCAGAAGGTCAGAGTTCAAAGGGCCTTAGAGGTGGGCCTTCGTACTAAGCCATCTCCTTTCCAGGTGTCACAGACTCCGAAGGACAAGTGACATGCTCAAGGTCACCAGCCAATTACTAGTAAACTGAATGAGCCCAGCACTACCACCCTCCCACCACACACACACACACACACACACACACACACACACACACACATACACCCCTTGGCTCCCCTGCTCATCACTGACCATTCTGACCTAGCATGGAGGAGAGGGGACTGCTGGAGAGGCAGGGGACATGGGACTGCAGTGGCCGGCTGGCAAGAGCAGCCATCCCAGGTCAGTCTAGGCTCTGTGGGGAGTTGCCTTAGCATCCCTTCTTCTATGGCAGTGGTTCTCAACCTTCTGGCCCTTTAAATACAGTTTCTCATATTGTGACCCAACCATAGAATTACTTTCGTTGCTACTTCATAACTGTAATGTTGTTATTGTTATGAATCTTAATGTAAATATCTGATATGCAGGATGGTCTTAGGCGACCCCTGTGAAAGGGTCGTTTGACTGCCAAAGGGGTCGCGACCCACAGGTTGAGAACCGCTGTTCTATGGGATCAGAACCTGGGCAGATCCCTAAGTCCTGGGTGGGGGAGGAAGGGGGAAGGCTGTCAGTGCTGTCTCCATGGGCAGCCACCCAGCTCTGCCTGCAGCGTGGGTGGGGAAGGGGCTTCTTCCCACGACCAGCTTTGCAAAGGCATCCTGGCCCCATGGGAAAAGGAGCCCCAGGGCTGAGAGAGCAACGTTCCTTTCTGCTCCATCAGCTCCCAGGCACCCCAGGGCCCGCAGCCTTGCTGACAGAGCAGAGCAGCAGCAACAGGCACCGCTGGGGCCGGGGACTGGCTGAGCCAGGGACTAAGTCCTGTCTGTCTGAGAAATGAGGGCAACTCTGTGCTCATCCTTCTTCCCTCTACCACATGTTTTATTTATATTTTTTAAAAAAATGATAGTAGGAAAAGCACAAAATTTGAAGTCAGACAAACTGGGTTCAAATCCTGGCTTTGCTGCTCTAGTCTGTGACCACGGGCAGTTAATGAAATTAATTGGGCCTCCGTGTCCTTATCGTTTTCAACAGAAATAACAGCAGGGTCCTTGTGAGCCTGCGTGAAGCATGAATACAGAGCCTGGCATGGAGATGGGCAGCAAGTACCTGTGCTCAGTGTACGTTCAACTCACGGAAGCTGGTGCTGTGGTGTCGCTGTGACGCCACTGCTGTTATCATGGCAGAAGTTCAACAGAACTAAAGCACCGATCCTTTTAAGTTGGGATCCGTTAGGTTTAGTTCCAGTTTTCCTTTTAAACAGCCAGCTCTCAACCAACTGTTCTAAGGGAGGGAGCCCAGGAGCGCAGGCAGCGGTCCAAAGCCTGCTGAATTTGGCTTTGACTGTGTCCTAAGGCATTTTTGCAATGGTGTTATCTTTCTGTTTTCCTCATTCTAACAAGGAGAGGAATCAGTATTCCCCCAAGTACTTACAAATTGACGATAAAAGAAGTGCAGTTGAAAAGACTGAGAAGCAAAGGGGAATGGGCCTAGGATTACATTTTTGCTTATAGAAAATACACAAAGGAGATAACTCGTAAGTGAATAATAAAGCCCATTGCATCTTTTCTCTATTCTCTCCAATAGTCTGTTCTCTATTCTTCACTTCATTGAAATGCATCTAGAATAATGCAACTCTCAGGAAACAAGAGGGATTTGTGGTCATTTCCACTTTCTAGGTGGGAAAGCTGATGTCTAGGGAGGTGCCTTGCCCAAGTCAGCTGATGGTTAAGGCACCAGCCCTCGCTCAGTGTTTCCTAGACCTGTCTGATAAATAGAATCACCTGGACGCTTGTTAAAAATGCAGATTTCTAGTCTCTCCATTACCCCCACCCCCACCCCAAGTTCTCATTCCATAGATCTGGGGTAGAGGCTGGGACTCTGCTCTGAATGACCACATCACAGGATTCCTATCAAGGCCAAGACTAGAGTGAAGCCACAGTCTTGGGCACAAAACTGAAGGGGATGCTAAACAGTCATCAATCGAGATAAATCATGGTTTAATGCAATGTTTTAAAAAATCATACAAAAAACCATGGTGAACAAAATATCAGAAGTTTGAATACACACAGGATCAGTAGCAGTGCTGTGCCATCCTAGCCTGAGGCAAAAGGACAATCAGTAATACTGATGACCGCGCCCTGCATGGCCCTGATTCTTATCATTATATGAGTGTGGGAAATTCTGCCCTGGACAGTTAGACTTCCATTTCCATCAAAATCTCTGGAGGTAGTTTGGACACCCAAAGCCACCCAGGTGAATTTGAGGCACAGCCAGTTTGAGAATCACTGTCCTAGAAGAGCCCCAGGTCTCCCCGGGAAGGTTGGCTTATCTGAGCTCGTCGCCCTCCTCACCTTCTCCGTGTCAATGCCTCTGGACATGGACCAGGTGGACACGATATAATCCATGACTCGCTCACTCAATCCCTTTGGCACCTGGTAGAGCTTCAGGAAGTCCCGAACGCTGTTGAGCATCTCATGGTACCTGTTGGTGTTGGCGTACATCTGTTGGAAAATGGTCGTCACATTCCCGAAGATGGTGGCATAAAGAAGTGCTAGAGGCAAGAGGAGGAGAAGAAACGACACATGAGTGGTCCCTGAACCAGGGTCCAAGAATGCCCGCCTTGCCCAGAGCCGGCCAATGGCCAGAACTGCCCTCCCTAGGACAGGCCGTCCTGATTTCCCAGGAGAACCTCACCCTGAGAGCCTCTGGGAGTGGAGTCTCCAACCACCAGACCAGGAGGACAAGGGCAGGGTGGTGGGAGCTGACATGACCAGGGCCAGAGCTAGGATACAGAGAGTGATGGGCGCAGTGGGACTACTTCATTAGTGGAGCCGCACAGAGTTTGAGCCATGCCTGAGGCCACCAATGAAATGTGTTTCCATGTACTCTGTACCAGCCCACATCCAACCCTACCAGCAAGTAATCTTTATGAAACCCTGCCATGTGCCAAGCACTATGCTACCTGCCGGGACAAGAGGGTGAATGAGACACCCAGTCTCTCTTGGCCCTCACACAGCAAACAGTGTAGCGGAGGGACAGACCTGGAATGCGTAATCACAAATAAGTAATTAAGAACAAGTCTGCCGAGAGCGATGGAGGATGTACTACCTTTGCATTTCCTGTTCAGGTGCATGTTAGTACCAGAATCCACTTCACTGTCATGTGACGCCTGGGGTGGGGGGTGTTATGGCGAGAAAAAATCAGGTCCCCTCTGAGATGTAACAAGAACATACTCTGTGCTCCTGCTGCTCCCCCAGGTTAGTGTCATGAAGGAGGACCATTATGTCATCACAAAACCCCACCTTCTACTTCTAGCTCCCAGTTGCCCTTGAATGCTGACCTCAGGCGTCAGCACTTCCAGGAAACCTCCCCACAAGGGTGACTGTGACTTCCAGGCATGTCTATAGAGCTCATATTACACATGCTTCCTTCTTGACAAAGCATGAGTTGCTTGAAGACTGGACACATCTGTTTCTTGTCACTGTATCCCCAGGAGCTAACACTATACCAGCACCCAATAAATATTTATCAAATTTGTGAATTTCACACACAGTTTTGCTCTGGGTTTTTAAAAATGAGTTATTGATAAACAATAAACTGCACATGTTTAAAGGACACGATTTGATGTTATGTGTGTACACCCATAAAACCATCACCACAATCAAGATAGTGAACATCTCTATCACCCCAAAGAAGTTCTGTCTTGTCCCTTTATAATCCCTCCATCCCTCCTGCTTCTCCCTACTCTCAACACTTTCCCATTCCCCAGCAACCACTGATGTTTTCTGTCACCATAGGTTAGGTTGCATTTTCCATGATTTTATATAAATGGAATCATACAGTATGTACTTTTTAAAAGCATCTTTATTAAGATAGAATTCATATACTATAAATACATCCATTAAAGAATACAATTCAATGGATTTTAGCATATTGACGGAGTTGTACAACCATCACTGCATCTAAATTTAGAATATTTTCATTCCCCCCTGCCAAAGAAACCCTGTACCCATTATCAATCATTCTCTGTCCATCCACCCCACTCTCATCCCAAGGCAACCACTTCCCATCTCTATAGATTTGTCTATTCTGGAACATTTCATATAAATTAAATTATACAATATGTGGCCTTCAGTGGCTAGCTTATTTCATTTATCAATGTTTTCAAGGCCTATCCTTTTATTGTTGAATAATATTCCATGTATGGATATACCACTTTTCACTTATCCATTCATTAGTTCATGGGCATTTGGGTCATTTCCACTTCCTGGTTATTATAAATAATGCTGTTATAAACACTCATGCACAAGTTTTTGCATGAATTTGTTTTTATTTCTCTTGGGTATATACCTAGGAATGGAGTTGCTGGGTTATATGGGAACTCTATGTTTAACATTTTGAGGAACTACCAAATGGTTTTCCAAAGTGGTGTATCATTTTACATCTCACCAAAGGTGTGTAAGGGTTCCCAATGTCTCCCAAAACCTAACACTTGTTATTCTCTGTTGTTTTTTTTATTATAATTGCCATCTTAATGAGTGTGATCTCTATCTCACTGTAGTTTTGATTTGCATTTCCCTGATAGTTAATGAAGTTCATTAAGCACCTATGCATGTGCTTATTGGCCATTCATATATCTTCTTGGGAGAAATGTTCACTAATCTACCTAATTAGTAAATGCAACCTAATCTACTTTTGGGTTGTATCAACAATAGTTCATTCCTCTTTTTAAGAAATGAAAAAATTATGTTGAAATAATTATAAACTCACAGAAAGCTGTAAAGGCAGCACAGAGAGATTCTGTATAACTCTCACCCCATCTCCCCATCGGTTATATCTCAAATAACAAGAGTACAATATTAAAACCAGAAGATTTGCATTGCTATAAAGTATGTGTATAATCCTATGGTGTTTTATCACGTGTGTAGATTCACATAACCAGCACCACATCTTACACCACAAGTTCCAAATACAGGGCTGTTCTATGGTCACAGAGATCTCCCTTGTGCTACTCCCACTACCCCCAAGAAACCACGAATCTCTTCTTTGTTATAATTATGTCATTTCAAGAAGGTTCTATAAATGGAATCATATAGTATGCGATCTTTTGAGACTGGCTTTTTCCACTTAGAAATATCCTTGAAATCCATCTATCTTGTTGCACATATCAATAGCTCATTCCTTTTTTTGTTGGTGAATTCTATCCCATGGTATGGTACAGTACATCGTTTCTTTTAAACAATCCTACTCAGGCTTAGGAGGCAGACTAAGAGGGAAGGAAAGAGAGAGGAAGGCATGGATCTAGAGGCCAGGGAAGGAAACCTTCAGGTAGTCGGCCTGGCAGGGCTGGATACGGTGCCTGAAAAACTGAGGCCACAGATCCACCTGAAGAAAACTGTAAAGGAGGATCAGAAAGCGCTGCCAGGGAGCGGTGTTCACCTGACTAACCAAAAGGAGGCGGATGAAAAGCAGCAGTTGAAGCCTGAATAGTGCAGACGTCAGCTCTTCAAAGTTCCTAATACCTCATATACAACAAGGTGGCAACTCCTGCCCACCCCCACCCCCCCGCCCCCGGGGGGACCTCACCAGTGGGCTCTGCACCAGCCTCTGGGGCTGGATGGCTGCCTGATCCCGTCAGTCTGACCTCAACTCAATAAGCCTGTATGGCAGCCCTGCCTCAGCACTGTCTTCTGGCCCAGCGGCCGCCAACCTTTCGGACCTCACAGACCACCGGTTGGCGACGGCTGTTCTGGTCCTCAATCGACTGGAGGTCACGCGTAAAGCGTGGAGGTGCTTTGCTCAGGAAAGCTGCCAGAAAGTTAATGTAATCCGGAGCATAAAACAACAGTCACACCAAATCAATACAGAAAGAACAGAACCGGCTCAGGTCTGAGACTCTCGTGCTCTGGCCACAGGGAAGGCAGTGACGCCACATCCATCATTCCCGGCCCAGGGCTGCTCCCGTCCCAGCCTGGAAGCTTAAGGGTCCTCAGGAGGGCCTTACTCAATTATTATCACTATTATGAAATTTTATTATTATTAAAAATAGAGTATTCTGCTCTAATTTTAGATGGAGCAGGTTGTGTTTTACATGTCTACATGTTATTTCTTGATATCTTATATATAAAGCATTATGCCCTTACCTACTACTAACTGGGAGAGCAGACACCGCATGGATATCTGAATGTGACGTGGGAGGGTGCAGCAACATCACTGTCCTGACTGAACCTCAGTGCAGAGGCGCCTTGGATGACCCTCCACGTGGATGAGTTGGTCTTTCATTTTGGGAAAAGGAGCAAGAAGGCCTCTCCCAACCCCAAGACAAAAATGCTGATTTGGGAAAGAGGAGGCTTATTTCTGCGTGGTGGGTGTGGCTCAGTGGTTGAGCGTTGACTCATGAGCCAGGAGGTCAAGGTTGGATTCCCAGTCAGGACACACGCCTGCGGTGTAGGATCAATCCCCAGTAGGGGGCGTGCAGGAGGCAGCCAATTGATGATTCTCTCTCATCACTGATGTTTTTCTCTCTCTCTCCCTCTCCCTTTCTGAAATAAAAATAAAAAACAAGAGGAGGCTTATTTCTGCACTTGAGTGGTTTACAATTAATGTTGTATCATATCAGGAGTTCTGGGTCTTCTTCAAAGAACAGTAAGGTAGTATCTCTGGCCCCTAATTAGAAATTGCTGTATGGAATTTTCTGTATGGGCAAAAGTTGGTCTCCCTTTTTAAAATGTGGTATTTATTTTTGTATACACAACACACACCCAGTTTAGAGTCAAATGCCCAAGACATTTCAAAATTCCTTATTCCCCTAGGCCATCTTTCTTTTCACCAATTTTCTACTCTGCAAAAGCACCCACTTCCATTGTTAGCTGATTCTTTTGCTATTGGTCTCTCTCTTTTAATACCATGCTCAAACTGCTATACCCTGATATTTCAGTTGTAGGCATTATCCATTGACCTCTGAGAGTTGAACTCTTTTCCCCACCTCACCTCCAATCTCACACTCATATGCACACCTTTTCCCATTGCCCCACCCTCCCAATAGAACTCCATCCTCACATTGGTTACATAATTATCTATGTTTACATTATTATAAGTAGATGAATGCTATTCACAGCTAAGCCATTCACAGCTAAGTCATGTACTATTCTGTGGTTACGTTTCCTTTTCTGCAATGTAGCTAATAATGATCTTTGTCTTTTCTTGCTTGGTCTACTTATGGCTAATGTGACTCCAAATTCTCCCACAGATAAATGCCTTTTCTTACTATATCAAAACACAGTAGTTAGTTTATTAATTAAAGAAATCTCTCCTGGAGACTTCTGAACTATTGCCTTGTCATCTGTGTGGACATCTCTGCCCCTGTATCCTGGGAAGTCCCTTCATTTAGTATTCAGATTGGATCCCAACCCCCTGTCTTCCTCCCTCTTGTTTTATCCCTTTTTGCTGGTAGAAGACATCGTCTAACAGCTTTCAGAGAAAGGAAATATGGGAGCACGATTTTTGAGACCTAATGTTTATCCTTATACCGAATTAACAGCTTGGCTTGGT